ATTAACTATCCCTAGAAACCTGTGACCAGTGACCTGTCTTTCTCCACATAAAAGGTCTCAGAGTAAGTCTGTTTTCTAGATAATCCCTCTTGTGCCTGATGAGCAGGGAGCACTTCTATGACTCAGATCTGGATGTTGGAGAACACAGAAAAAGGCTCTGGATGAATACCAAGTATGTATAAAACAATATTTTCTATTTAAAATTATAAATTCCACCATCCATTAAAAAGCTATTATTTGGGGGGAGGGGGAGACAATTTATTTATGGGGATGGGGTTATTTTTTTAAATCAAAACGCAAAACAAAAGTGTGGTGGTAAAAGATGGTAGTTTCTTCAGCTCATACATTAAGAAAAGCTAAAAGTTTTAACTGAATTGCATGTATTGTTATCATTCTACTTTTGAGCTCAAATGTGTCCAGTATTTACATGAATCATCACCATGGGTCAAATCAGGCCACTGATTTTTAGTCAAGTTTTTAGATGAATTCAGTGAGAAATCAACAGCACTGCAAAGGTCTGTGAAACTAAAATTTTACACATCAGGAGGCCCTGTAGTCTAGTTTTGAACCAGCATATAGACACTGGTCTACCAGAGTAAAACTACAGTAATCAAGACCCATAATGATGTCAAGGGGTTGGGGTTGGTTTGTACCTATCAGCTAGGATAACGAAGCCTAAAAAGTAGCTACATTACATTTCTCATCAAACGTTTAGTATTTTTGCATGTGGCTCCTAAACACATCATTAGAAGTCAAGTCAAAATAAGATCATGGTTTCTCAGATCATAAATCCATTCTGAAGTTAATGAAATACAAGTTAATGAAGTATGTTGCACAGAAAGGAGAAAGGAGAGCAATGAGTTAAGACTTAGGACTAGCATTCCAACCTTGCATAGATTCAAATAACTCTGGCAAGAGAGGATTCAATATTTCCATGGGTATGTTATATGATCATCAGCTATTTGTGCCTAAAAAAGAAAAGAAGTGACCTCACCTGTTTTTGGAAGAGGGTAGCTGATATTAAATAAATCTTCCAGAAATGAAAAGATTGGTCCTGTGATATTTAAAGCATAGTCAACACACCCCTTTTCAACTGCTTCTTTCCGAGCCCAAATACGTATCTATAATAAAGCAAGGAAATATTATTTTAGACAACTGTTGCATTTTTCAATTTCCTTGCTTCTCTTCTGTGAAGGCAATATTTTTAAGCAGCTACATTGAAGGTGTTGCCTACCACATCTGATCATGCAATTACATTTTTATGCAAGAAAAAGAAGAAATGTACCACTAGATTTAGAGCTCAATCCCGTTACAATCAAGGATAGCTTTGTGCTTTTGGGTCCAAGATTTGTGTCTAAATATATATACATGGAGTAATTACTAGTTACTTTTACATGCTACCTCAGACCACAGTGACATTTAAGAGCTTTCCTTCTTTCCATTCCCACCCCTCAGTACAGCTACAACAATGCTTTCACTCTCCATACATGGCTAAGTTTTTTGTCATGAATCCCTAGCTTGTCATGACTCCCTACAGCTTTGGTCATGGCTCCCTACTGCATCTGGAATTTAAAGATGGTTTCCCACTGAAGGACTAGACAGGTCCAGGACTGTTTAGTCTCCAAAATCAGACAAAAATCAGGTGTATTTGATTTGGTATAGCTTTCCACAGTAAAAAAATGATTTTTTAAAAAATATTGCTTTACCTTGTACCAGAAAATAATACGTGCACATACCAGAATTCATAACTTGTGGGCTTTTGAATAAGTCACTAAGGCATTTACATTGTTACAAAACCGGGGTATAATGGGGTGCTTCCAAAGACACACCCTTGGTTTGTATAAGCTTAATAGTCCCCCCCAGGCTGCCAAATGGGCATGCTGAGGTTATTTATTGGCCCAGAAATCAACATTTATCACACAACCTTCAGTCAAACAGTAGAGAGAACAAAGGGATTTATTACACAGAAAGAAAAAAAATGATCAAATGCTTTGATAACAGGACATGGTAAAACAAAACTGACAAAATCCTTACCCTACTTCTGAACTACCACCTAAACCTCAGAAAGATCCTATGAAAGTCTCCCAGGGTCAACCTCTTCTCAGTCACAGCCAGCTCCCTTCACCCTGGGGACTTCCAGTCCACCACTCCTCCCAGGAAGCCCTCTCTCCTACCCTCACTCCCATCAGCATCCTCCCCCATCTACATTTATGGGGAGCCAGAGAATCTTCTTGAGTGTCTCCCTCTGTGGTTCCATGGCATAAATACATCAAATCATAGAAAATTAGGGTTGGAAGGGACCTCAGGAGGTCATCTAGTCCAACCCCCTGCCCAAAGTAGGACCATCCCGAGCTAAATCATTCCAGCCAAAACTTAAAAACCTCCAATGATGGAGAGTTCACAACCTCTCTGGGTAACCTGTTCCAGTGTTTTACTACCTTCCTAGTGAGAAAATTCTACCCAATATAAAACCTAAATTTCCCTTGCTGCAACTTGAGACGGTTGCTCCTTGTTCTCTCATCTGCTACCACTGACAGCAGTCTAGCTCCATCCTCTTTGGAACCACCCTTCAGGTAGTTGAAGGCTGCTATTAAATTCCTTCTCAGTCTTATCTTCTCCAAACTAAATAAGCCCAGTTCCTTCAGCCTCTCCTCATAAGTCATGTCCCCCTGCCCACTCACCATTTTGGTTGCCCTCCACTAGACTCTCTCCAATTTGTCCACATCTTTTCTGTAGTGGGGGGCCCAAAACTGGGCACAGTACTCCAGATGTGGCCTCATCAGTGCTGAATAGAGGGGAATAATCACTTCCCTTGACATACTGGCAACACACCTACCAACCAATGCAGTCCAGTATGCCATTAGCTTTCTTTGCAACAAGGGCACACTGTTGGCTCATATCCAGCTTATTCCCCACTGTAACCCCCAGGTCATTTTCTGCAGAGCTGCTGCCTAGCCAGTCCGCACCCAGCCTGTACTGGTGCATGGGATTGTTCCGTCCTAAGTACTGGAGTTTGTACTTGTCATTGTTGAACCTCATGTGATTCCTTTTGACCCAATCCTTCAATTTGTCCAGGTCACTCTGAATCCTATCCCTACCCTCCAGCATATCTATTTCTCCCCCCAGCGTGGTGTCATCTGCAAACTTGCTGAGGGTGCACTCTATGCCATCTTCCACATCGTTGATAAAAACATTGAACAAAACTGGCCCCAGGACTGCCACCTGGGGCACTCCACTTGATACAGGTTGCCAACTAGACATTGAGCCATTGACTACTACCCTCTGAACCCGATGCTCCAACCAATCTTCTATCCACCTTACAGTCCATTCAGCCAGCCCATACTTCCTTAGCTTGCCTGTAAGAATGTTGTTGGAGACCATGTCAAAAATCTTGCTAAAAATCAAGGTACACCACATCCCCATCTCCCCACATCCACAAAAGCAGTCACCTCATCATGGAAGGCAATCAGGTTGGTAAGGCATGATTTGCCCCTGGTGAATCCATGCTGACTGTTCCTAATCACCTTCTTCTCCTCCAAGTGCTTAGAAATGGATTCCTTGAGGATCTGCTTCTTGGTTTGACCAAGATGACCTCTCCTCATCGCCATGAGTTTTCAAAGATTATGGCCAGTGGCTCTGCATTCTCATCAGCCAACTCCCTCAGCACCCGCAGGTGCATCTCATCTAGCCCCATGAACTTGTATATGTCCAGCTTTTCTAAACAGTCCCTAACTTGTTCTTTCACCACTAAGAGTTGCTCACCTCCTCCCCAAACAGTGCTGCCCAGTAGTCTGGGAGCTGACCTTGCCTGTGAAGACTGACATGAAAAAAGCATTGAGCACTTCAGCATTTTCTGCGTCCTCTGCCACAAGGTTGCCTCTCTCATTCAATAAGGGACCCACACTTTCCCTGATCCTCCTCTTGCTATCAACATACTTATAGAAACCCTTCTTGTTACCCTTCACATTTTCATGCTGGAGCTCTGAGCAAATGTATGGCTCTTTTACATCAAGTGCAACTCCTCCTCCTCTGCTCTTCTGCCTGTCCTTCCTGAACAGTTTGTACCCATCCATGACAGTGCTCCAGTCATGCGAGCTCCCACTATGTCTCTGTTATTCCAATCATGTCATAGTTCCATGACTGTGCAAGGACTTCCAATTCTTCCTGCTTGTTTCCCAGGCTCTGTGCATTTGTATACAGGCACCTGAGGTAACTAGTCAACTGCCCTGATTTCTCAGGAAATATGAGAACACCTCCCCTGTTGCCCCTTCCTGCTTGCTCTTCCTCCAGGTCTCCCCCTTCCCCACTTACCTCAGGGCTTTAGTCTCCATCTCCCGGAGAACCTGAGGCGGTAAATGCACATATAATCTTCTATAGTGAAGTCCTTTGAAAGTTCAGCATGCGAGTGCTCAATGCCTCCAAACATAAAGCATGTACACTGTACAGCCATTTGACTTTAAATCAGTGCCTATAGATTTTGTATGTGCCATTACGGCATGCACACCTTTTACATTTGGATGCCGGAATGCATTTGCTACTTGCAGGCTGAATTTTCAAAGGGCTTCAGTTCAATACATGTATAGAGGATCCGTTAGTGCATGTATAGAGGGTGCATGCTCTTGACTCAGAGGCATCTGACATTAAGGATTTAAAGAGAATACATCAAAATATTCAATTAACATTGTCCCTCCAATCTTGTGTTTCCATTTTTGGCCAAAGTGTTGCAGAAGTCTCAAAGGTGAACTGAAGGTGATTTTTTCCCTAGATCATGTGCAGAAGTAAGGAGGCACTTCAGCTAAATGATCAAGCAAATGCTAGTTTGGGGGCTTGGCTACTGCCCCTGTCAGCACCTACTGATTCCTGGGATTTGGAGGCTTGTGCTGGCCTCTCTCTCCCTATGTCTGCTGCAATGTGCAGCAGGCACCATATCAGACTGTATACTTCTCTTTGACACAGAGCAGAAGATTGCCTCCAGTAGCACTATCATCACTCTTTCATTTATAAAGAGTGTCCAACATTAAGAATAGGACTCAGCTGTGGTACTTAAATGCTGAGCAGAGATTGTTATATTTGTCTTTACTTTCTCAACAGATACAAAAAAACTAAACAAAAAAGTAATAATAAGTAACATTTTACAATCAAGGGTGAGCAAGTTCCAGGCCGGTGGAGCAGTTTGATCTGGCCCATGGACATGAGGCTTCAGCAGCATTCAGTGACAGGGGGCTTTGGCAGCAGTCACTTTCCCAAGCCGCTGTATGGAGAAGCAGCAGCAGTGCATAGTCTCCTCATCCTGCCCAGTGAAAACCAGCAGTGGTGGCTGTGTCCTAGCTGCCCACCTACCTGCCTGCCTATGACCCAAACCAGGTCACTCTGGTCCACAGCCTAAAATGGTTGCTAACTGCTTTTTTAAGGTGTTCCTTAAGGAGAACTCCATTGAATGACAAGGTAAATCCAATTGCTATAAACATCACATACTGAATAAAAAAATTGTTTATATGCACCCAATATTAGCTTCTAGAAGTTAAAAATGGTGCCTGGCATTAAAAAAAAAAAACCCTAACAACATCAGTTACAAGACCACACTGAGGCATAGTGCTGCTCTTATTCAAGACATTAGGGTTGGTAGTTTTAAAAGGGTCTGAATGAGTTAGGCCCCCTTGTCACTGAACTCATATGAGCAGAAATGGGGTTGTTTTATAAATGAACTGGGTTAAGAAGATCTTGAAGCACTTTCTGTGGAATGACTTCTCAAAGTATATCAGATATTAATTTAAAACAGATTAGAAGCACATTTATGAAACTATTGGTACAGAATGAATGCACCCCAGTGTTTTTGAAGAAAAGTTTTCTGCACATGTGGTTACAGTGAAAATGTTATCACTTCTGCCACTTAATCAAATACTTTCAGAATTGGGAAATAAAAAGATACCTCAGAGAACACAGCACACTGGAACTAGTTTATGCTTAGATGCTCTTGTTAACATTCTGCAGTAGATCATTTACCTCTTTGCCCCTCTCTGTTACAGTCACATGATCAAAGTCGCAAACTACAAAAGCAGTTATGTAAGTTGACATTTTTGGGGTAGTATCAAATGTAGTGACAGTCCATATGCTTCCATTCTCATCTTTCATTTCAGATACACCTAGAACAAAAATAATTATGGTAGAAAATATTCAAATTATTACATAACTAAACAAGAACTTTTATTTTTTTAGCACCTTTTTTATACATGTCTTTTTTGTATTCTGATACTATACAGGACTGCACTGACTAAATATGCTTCTGCTGACAGGTGTTATGACAACTCGGCTCTTTCCATGTACCTGAATGATAACCTCATATGCAAACACTCTAATAATCCACTCCTGAGCTTCTTAACCAAGGTCTATGGAACATATAGAGCTGTTCTTAGTACAAAAAAGCGTAAAAATGCTTCCTTTCTTTAGTAACTATAATTATACTATAGCACAAGTAAAATCAAGCCTGCTCAAACAAGAATTATCCAAAGTTTAAGTATCTCATCCCTAATCAGACCATCAGACCCTTTCTTTCTCATATTCTCCCCCAGTACGCACAGAAAAGTACATGGGAAAAAGTTCTGTGAGGAGGAAACTTTCAGGGCTACCCTCATAGAGACTCCCCATCTTCCGTCCCAATATTAACTACATTCCACACAGGTTTGATAATGTCCTCCCTTTTACCAACTGTAATTATTTAAATAAGAAACAAAGAATCACGTCATTGAGACTACAGAAAAAGCCTTTTAAACTAAAAGGATACCTATGCTCTTCAAGTTGACTGCCATGAAACATGTAACTAAACAATGAATAACAAGAAACAAATCTTCAAATACTTTGCAATCAAACTTCACTGGTACCAGGCACCATCAAAAGGTGAGCTAATATACTTACATCTCTTAAAACAGATTATAAATATTTGCCTAAAGATTTTATCCACTTTCACTGGACCATCTAAGACATTTTACAAACCCACTAAAGAGTGTCTCAGCCTCAGCTCATGTTACTGTCTTACGTCCTTTTCCCAAACAGGAGTGAAAACTTCCTTCTAGAGGGTCACTTCTAGCAATCTACCAATGTCACTTTTGAACAGCAAGGACTAAGAAAGTCGAAGGCTTTCCAGGAAGAACAGAGAGCACTGGCTCTACTAACCTTCCTGCACTTACATTTCAAGTTGTCTTCATAGGGATTTTGAGGTTTTATTTCTCTGTGTTACTAAGATAGAATATACCAACTGAGTAGAATTTGCAAATATATCTAGCAGCCATAGCCCATGGATAACAGAACATTATCATATACAATGACATATTAATGTGCTACTCTTATATGCTGTTCAGGTAATTCAACCCATCATTAAGGTAATTTGGGAAAATACAGAAGGCTGTTTTTAACTTACCTATAGCAGGCATGTTGGAAAGAGCTACATAGCTGGGATCATGGACAATTCTAATGTTAAATGTTGCCTTCATGTCAGGCTCATCAAAGCATGGAAACACATTCCTTGCATATGTTGGTTCCAACTGTGATGCAATCAGCATACTAAATTGAAAATATGAATATTGTTAACCCAATATGTTGCAGTTAATCAAAATCAATATGTGGTGCACAAAATCTGCCAAGTTAGAAATAGAGAAGGTTAATCATATACAGATGTGGACTTAGAAAAGGCTTAGTCAGCGCTTGAAGACAAGACCAAACCGACCCCTTCAGAGCTGCACGTGCAGACTTATCAAGACCAACTGGATAAGCAAGCTCTGTGCCTACTTTTTATTCATCTGTAGAGATCACAGTGTTATATCTTTGAGTTTTGGCTTGACATAAGAGTCTCATGCACAGATAATACTGTCCACAGCAGGCAATTGCTTAAGATTTATGTAATCGCCCAAATTTTCATCTCAGAAATGAATACTGTCTGGATGCCTGCCTGCTTGTCACTCTAAATACACCTTAATACATTATGCTCTTTAATTGTAGTGGTACATTTTACTAAAGGATTTTAAGAACTGGTGTTGCAGATACTGTCCCTCTACACCAAGCACCAGAGCAAGCCTCAAGGAGAATGCTGAGGAGAACCCTGCCCCCTACCACCCACATGCCAGCGAGTTCTGCCTGCCACTCATGTGATAATTCTGAACAGGGCTTTGGGGGCAGATTTTGGACTGGTTTGGAGTGCCCAACTTAAAACATCCTTACTGAAAAAAAGACAAAATTACTTCTCTGTGCTCAGTATTCCTTACAGTTCCACTAAGGGAAGACAGTGCAGTGGAAACCTTTTAAAAATGTTGACCGTTCTGTGGTAGGATCAAATTGCCACCATAAAAACCTCTTATACATCTTAGTATGAGGTGAGTGAGGCTAGGTAGGTCAAAAATAGGCAAATGCCACCCAAGCAAATAATTTACAAATGTTTAGCTTTCTACAGTACTTATAAACCTGTGAAAACTGAGCTATGAGTTAATGCAGTCACGAGGAAGCTATAACTTCTGTTAATTCATGAGTTCACTGTTAGCCTTATTTGTCTTGACACTACTACAGGGCTTATATCTTTCACGCGATTGAGATGTTCTTAAACAATAATAATATATTAGCTACAAACAGGCTTATCTTCAACATCACACATGAGTGGTTTCTCTTTCCACTTAGATGTATACAAGCAAACTAGTTAATTAAAAAGAAACTGCAGTTTGGATTCCTTAGCATTTTTTTAAGGGCTGCATCTACACGGCGCTGTGCTTTAGTACTTCCTTTAGTACTAAAGCATGGCACAGTAACTGCCTGATCCACATGATCGCTATGTTGGCGTAGCGTGCCATATGGTGACGTAGTGTGTAGCTACGTTGCCATAGGGCAACTGTAGTTGTGCCCAAGGTATCCCAGAGGAAGCTTAAATGAATATTTTTGTTTTTAACCTGCAGTACAAAACACTTGCATTGTGATATAATGATGTTGCATGTTATATCTCCCCTGATCCAGCAAGGTGCCAAGAACTTCTTGCAAGGTACCAAGCATGCCTGTTTCCAACTACTTCATTTCACCGAGTACTTTCACACAGCACAGGAAGTGTTCAGCATCTCACAGGACTAGACCCACTATGAGGAAGTAGCAATTTACTTGTCTACAGGAGAGAAATTCAAAATTTTCATATCATTGCTACCACCAGCTCAGCCTCCTGCTGCTAGGACCTTCAGAGTTCTTGTGCGGACGGATCTTTTGCTATCACCATTTAATCACTGTGGGTGTGTCTACATGTTTATTAATGCGTTGTAGTTACTGCACATTAAGTTGGTACTTGTACAGGCAGTCCTCAGCTTACAATGTTTCAAGTTATAATGTTTCACACTTACATCGTTTATAAATTGACACCCTATTTCAACTTTATGATGTCAGTTTCGACTTTACAACGCTTGATGTGATGCAACGCCACACCAGTGAACAAGTTCACTGCGTTGCTCATCTCCCTGGAGAACATCTGTCCAAACTTCCTTGGACACTTTCTCTAAGAAAGCAGACAAGACTCCAGAAAAACCTGCAGCCAAGACTCCTGAGAGGACTCCAGCCAAAAACCCTTCAAAATTCCAACGAAGAGCCTTTCAAAAAGTCCAGCAAAGCCACCTCAAAAAAGTCCTTCCAAATCAATATGATTGCTATTTACAATATAAATACATTAATGTAGCTATATTACCAATTTATAATTGATCGAGTACAAAATACTGGGGTATTTTTAGTGAAAATAGGGTATTGGGCCTTGGTTCAGGAACCAATCCCCCATTTATAACATTGTTTCTCATGAGAAAATTGGTTCCAAGTTACAACGTTTCAAATTAAGACAAGGTTTTCAGGAACCAATTGTATTGTAAATCTGAGGACTGCCTGTATAACCAAATACTAAATCAATGCACAGTAACCAGTGCTACTGAGCAGTATTGCCGGGGCACAACTTTTTAGTGACGCTAACTGAGCAGAAGCCTAATACTACTGCACATTAGTGTATTAGCATGGCTTTTGCCTTGCACGCTACTGTGCAGTAGAATTAGGCTACTGCACAGTTAAGTGTCTTGTGTAGACGCACCCTGTATCATCTAATCCTGCTCAGAGCAAGTCTAATCAACAGTGGTACGGAAAACACCTAGCAGTCCACCTATGCAATGCTCTCAACATTGTTAACATTAATGGAGCAGAACTAATGTAGATGGGGCTAATGTACAATGATAATAGGATGTACCATGTCAGGATGTTATATCACAAAACCTTCCATGGCATTGGAAGCCCTCAAATACCTGCCTACCCTGCATATCTTGGGAGTATTCACCTGAGGCATAAACATATTCCCTCACAACTGGGAGTTGTGCCCACATCTGAGGTAGTGTCTGCCATCTGGTCACTCTCTGCTAGTTCTAGGAGATACTGTGGGTACCTTTCACTATTGCCAACTCCCCAGCCCAATGGAATTCCTGTCTCAGGGAAGCCTTGTACCAAGGTCTGTGCCAGGAGAACTAACACAGACCCTAAGCGAGGTTGGCCTGATGCCTGCAAAAACTCTTGTTCAAAAGCACAAAACAATATATTCTGGGCCAAGAAATAACAAAAATGATTTTTTATTTTTTCAGCAGGTTCCCAAGTAAAAAGAAACAAACCAAAAATGCTTCATGTACACTATGTAAATAGTGGTTATTTTACACATGTTGATATCTGGCCAGGGGCACTATAAGTCACTGTTTATTTTTTCTTGTTTTCTTTGTTAGCTGAATTGCTAGCAAACTTTACTCCACATTGCACATCTATGACCTGACACAAATTATCCAAATGGAATATTACTTCACAGAAACTTAGCAATGCATAAGCAGACTAATGAATTCCTTTCATAACTCCTGTGTTTTTGCATATAGGTTTCTTTTCTTTGCATTCTTTTTGTAAGCTATTTTAACAAATATTGGGTAGCACTGCGTAATGTTAGCCAAATACAATCAAAGCAGTATTCCAAGCAAGTCCCACCAGGCAGATAACAGAACTTTAAAAAATAAATCATGATAGTTTCAGCTATTCCAAATAGCATTACTTCACCTGGTAAGAAATGAGCTAACCCCCAAGTACTAGAACACTTTTTATTACATGCAAAATAATGCATGTAATATTTTCTGCAATAACTCCTCTTCCTAGCCTTCTTTATCAAACCACTGTTTGTTCTGAGTTCTAGCATTTCTTGGATTGCCAAGACTTATTACTTTCACAATCTGTAACTGAATCTTCAAGACACATTGCATGTGGGAACGAAAACTCTCAGTTATAAAGTGGTACTAAGCAAAATATTATTATCTGGAGGATTTTGACTACTAAGATTTGCAGTAAAATACAGCAGGCACTTCAGTTCACATTCCAGGGGGCCTTATGCTACTTTTGATTTGAGTACATAACACTCTATTTGGAGCAATGAATATCCTGTGTGTAGACTAATGTAGGCAAAACATACTTCCCACACTCACCTGACTTAATCCAACACAGCTGAAAGGCAAGATATGGAGAGGTACCTTTATGGCACCTTTCTGCCTCCTGTTATTCTGGCACTGATTCTCCCAACTTTCCAAGTCAACCATGGATTTTTCATCTGGTCCCCTTAAGGACAACTTTCCAACTGTTTTGTACCAAGTAAATAGTGCAGAGTACTAAGAAGCAGGGCCAGCTCCACACTGGACTCCAAATGGTGTTGTGAGTGCTGCAGAAACTTGTTGTGTGATGTCAACAAGCCATGCTTTTGCAAACTTATGCTCTGTATCCCAAAGCTTGATTTAGTACATAACTAATATCCCTAATAGTGTTAGACCACTTTCTATAAACAAACAGATCATGAATGGCTCCTGTGTGGTCATTTATATCCTCTCTCACTACAGAAGAGTTAAAGTACCGTACAGGCAGATGAGCTTCCCCACACCACCATGCTTCATTTTTGATTGGGAGGGAGAAGAAGGTAAAAGTATAATTCACTTTCCATGTCAATCAAACCTTTTGCCTCTCTGCTAAACTGCCAACAACAACATGGCTAGGATCTGGAACCAACTTCCAAGGGAAGTGGTGCTGGCTCCTACCTTGGGGGTCTTTAAGAGGAGGCTTGATAATTACCTAGTTGGGGTCATATGAGCCCAGTATTCTCTCCTGCCCAGGGCAGGGGGTCGGACTTGATGATCTACTTAGGTCCCTTTCAACCTTACATCTGTGAATCTATGAATCTATGGACATTTGACCACTAAGGTCAACATGGACATTTGACCACTAAAACTTTAACCACTAAAGTCAGTAAAGGCACTAAACAGGTTGCAGAAGATAATGGCTTTACCACTACCAACCTACTCTAGATTGGAGCTGATGACAAAGGATGCTGCATCCTAATATATAGATAGCCCTGACCCATCTAATCCTCCTTTCAAGTTCATCATTGTCAATCATTAACATACCCTTGTTCACATTTACAAATGATGTCCCCCCAAAACACATCTATCCTACAGAAAGAGAATGAAATTTTTACAGCCCAAACTGCAAGGGA